TCAATTATTTAAAAAGTATTATTTAAAATTGTTTGAATTGGGCTAAATATTTCAATTTGTAATTATACGAATATTTTAAAACCATAAACAGCAAATAGCAATAGTTTTAATTTATTTTAATTTGCGCAAGCTATACTATAAAATAATATATTTATTATGACTATTATTTAAATATAATTGTGACATTTCCAAAATTATAAAATTTGATTATATTTGTAGTTCTATCTTTGGCTATTACGATGTTCTGCATTTGATTTGAAATGTTTGTAATGATAGATGAAATAGTCTTGTTAATTTTAATTAAATTTCTTTCTCAGTTAATCTTGGTGTTTTTTTTTTGACCTTGGTATTTTTAAATTGCATCAGAATTTGTGAGTTTCTTTGAATTGGAATTTGAGATTCATATAGAATTAAGACTTGCGATTTATCTTGGGTTTGAACTTGAGATTCATCTTGGATCAGGACTTGTAATTTATCTTGGATCAGAACTTGTAATTCTTCTTGAATTGAGATGTGAGATTCTTTTTGAATAGAGGCTTGAGATTCTTCTTAAATCATAACTTGGGCTAGAATTTGTGATTCATTTTGCGTTAAAACTAGAACTTGAGATTCTTGAATTGTATTGATTAAAGTTGTTGTATTTTTTAATTATTGCTCATTACTAGGAACTTTGTAGAATCGTAATTTAATAACTGAACGATGGCCTGAAAATTCCATCAGTGCTTATTCATTTATATTAAGATCGGATAAAAGCTGAATAGCTGTTCTTCTTTCTGAATGATTTGTAATACGATTATTAGTAATATTAATTTTAGAAGCTTGTACGATATCATTCATCATATTAGCCAATATATATTTTTCAAGCCCAGTTTTAAGAAACCAGTTTCCATCTTAAATTTTACATGAATTTCTTGTTAATTGCAAATAAAACTTTTCACATGCATCCAGAGGACATAAATTTATATAATTTTGAAGATCTTGAACAGGTTTGTTTTCATTATTTAATAAATTTGCAGAAATATATATACATTGACTAGAAAATTTTTCATATTTGTTATGATCTTTAAGTTCATTCTGATTGTTTTTCTCATATCTAATCGTAAAAATTAAGCTTCTATCTAATTGAAACTCAAAACAATTTAAGAGAAGCTAATAGTGACCATTACCACATAATCCTAATAAATACGCATTCCAGAAGAATACTTTTTGTGTAAGTCATAATGCTGTTTGATCACCTGAGTTAAGATATAATAAAA